CTCTAATCTTTGTAAGTAAACTAGGATAACTTATAGTTTTATAATTGTATCAATCTGATTCAAAGTGAATGGCTCTTACACTTTTAGATAATTTGGGATAATCATAATACCATTCAAGCTTTTTGTATGCTCTTAAGTCATGGTAACATGACATCTGAAAACGAAATAGTGCAAATACTAGATAAGTATGCACCATATATACAGACACCAGGAAACCTTTCTTGAATCACCACCATAATCGGAAATTATCAAAGTGTTTCCTTTAAACCCAGTGTTTATTCCCCATTTCCTCCTAAATTCTTTGCCTTTACATCATTCAGAAAGGTAACCCTTCGTCAAAATTTTTCATAAAATTTTACACATTACTATTATTTTATTTATCACAGAATTGAGCATAAAATAAAAACTTAAAATATATCCTATGGGAAGGTGAGTCATGAGTAACTTAGGATGGAAATAATTTCAAATATAATTTTTGAAAATTCAAGTGTCTAAGGAATACTTGCTTGTGTATCAAAACAAACCTATCTCTTTTAAGTATAACTTCCAAATAATAAAAAAATACACAAAAATACTGCATCAATAACAGTATTTAATTAAATCTTTATTTTGACTGAAGTCAGCTGAAAAAATACTCTTGATACCCTCCCACTCTTAGCTTATCATTTGGATTATTATTTTTATAAGAAATTCTACAGTCTAATTTTATAAAGAGAGTATTTGAGATGAACTCTAGAGACTGCACTAAGATAACATATAATATTCAAATCATATGACTAAACAATATTTCAACAGTGATCAAAGTTCTTCTATTTCTGGTGTGGTTATTAAAATAAACAAAATGAACTTCTGTTTAAAATTGTTTTTAAAATTAAATTATGATCAATAACTAAAATAAATGGTTCCAGTCATGAGCCGAAAGCAGACTTCGAAAAGTCTGACAAAAAACCAAAAACATATGCTGATCGATCTGCAAATGATAATGCTATTAAAGGGAAGTTTTCATTATTTTTTATGTGTATCGGGGACACTGATCAATTTGCCCCATTCTAATTTTCAATCAGACCTGTGTTGTTCCTGCAATTCCACTAAAACTAAGTGTTTAATGACGTCACTCCCTTTAAATTCCTGAAAGTGATTATAGTCTAATCTTTTAAGGAAATTTTCATTATCCTATTGAAGAACCATCTAATGCAATTCAATTTCAAAAAGTGTTACAGGTATCTAAAATAAAGCAGTTAAAGAAGATATTTCGCTGACTATCTCTCTTAAAGATGATCAGGATGCCAACAAAAGCTCTTTCACAAATTCTGCTTCTGCCGATTTTTCAGTCAGTTTCTGAACTCAACAATTTCTGAAGGTGTTACTATAAGATACATGGGGAGATAACCTTCATAGTAACACCTTTATCCTTCATAGTAACACCTTTAGCATTTAACACTGTATCCACAAGAGCTGACATAATGTACAAATAAACTCTGGTGTTATCTTACTGTTAGATCATCACCAGATAACATCAAACCAAAGGTTAGTAAGATTTCTAACTCAGTAGGTAGAATATGTTGCTGTGATATCATTAAAGGGACGACAAAGGGATTAAAAGGCATCAAGTTGGTTATCAAGAAAAAAAATATATAAATCTTCCATGAACATTATCACATATAAACAATGAGCACCTACATCAACTGGTGTTTCACCTGGAAATCAAAGAGCTTATTCCTTATGGTTATATTTGCAAAGGAACAGCAGACAAATGAAATGATATGACACAGGCTTTATGCCTTTAGAATATCAAATATAGGTGTTGAATTCATGGATTGCACAGAGAGGGCTGCAGAATTTGGCTTACTTTACCTAAATGCTCTGGTTGGACACCACTTTCAAAGACCACAAATTGAAGTCTCATGGAATCTTTCAAGTCACAGTAACTAAATTATAAAGATCAGAATATTTTTACCATCATTTGATATCTTTACACTGAGCCAGTATACATGTGTGAAATGATGAAATATATGATAATGATCTATCTGATAAAGTCAAAGAAATATAAACTCATATGTCTATCTGTTAACACCCTGGTATTTAAAATACAGACAGGATAGATTGAATGGATGAATGAACTTAAGAATGAATGAAAGAACAGGAATGAATAGAAAAAAGTAAATTTTGTTGACATATCCTCAATAAAACATGTAGACCTTCTTAACCAGCTGACAGAGCTCAATTAAAGTTATTTGTATTACTTTTCATGATGAAAATATGACATTTAGTACTTCTGCAATTCAATAAAAGTGTATCAACACTTGAACAAGTAACAATGTATTATCAGTAATAATTGACAGACAATATTAACAATGACTTTATCACAGGTAATGACATATTGGATGCAGTTTGATTCAACATGAGTCTATTTTGTATAGTTACAAACAGAATGATTTTTGTGTCCTCCACCCAACTCCCCACATCCGTCAAACATATCAGAACAATTTTATGGTGTGAAATGTCATTTATTTTGCATGACCACAAGAATATGAGAAACATAAAATATTGGTGTAAAACTTACACTACATAAAACAACTCAAATATCTAATAATGCTCATATTCCTGTTGGGCTAAAACAATAATGATAAAATACGCCCAACAGGATTCAAATTCACTAAAACATTTATAGCAACAAATTGAAAGGAGGGAGGCAAGGGGAGGTGGGGGGTAGTTTAAAAACTGCAAAATTACAACAAGTGTTTAACAGCCTTGGCGGGTTTCTTGAAGAATGACCCGGATGTTGTTTTATTAATAGTATGCAGAAAATAACCACACACCACAGGATTGGTTGANACACAAAACGTATTATTTACAATAATATTTATTTGTGTCCTCCACCCAACTCCCCACATCCGTCAAACATATCAGAACAATTTTATGGTGTGAAATGTCATTTATTTTGCATGACCACAAGAATATGAGAAACATAANA